GAAGTTAAATGAGTCGAAAGTAAAGTTGTACTTGTACATATATGCATAGATAGTTGTCTTGTCTTTCAAAACCTGACGTAGTATGTGACTACAGAGAGACAATTTAACTAGGCGTATTGTCAAACGCAAAGAACAGGCACACTATCGTGTACCTGACGACCAAGAATTGAGAAACTGATCTCGACTCTTTATTTCAAAACAAAAACGAATTCAGAATAGAACCACATAAAAACCTGATGTACGTTTTTGACCCAGTACTTATAGCTAAACAATACCAATCCTAATACAACTAGAAAACCTCAACAGATAAAGACTAATACTAATGAGATAAAGACTAAATAAGAAACAAAATAAGCTAAACTTGGGCTTTACTCCTCCTTGAATATAATGTCGGCCAGGGGTAAATTAGGAAAAACTATCACTATATTGCATCAATGCATCATTCTCCCCTGCTTGAAAAAGAACTCGTCCTCGAGTGATTATCCGGATACAAGGGCAGATCTGGCTGAAAAATGGTGAGGTCAGACACATTAAACGTAGGCGAAATCGACCAGCCATCCGATAGATCAACAACATAGGCATTATCATTCACTTTCTGAAGTATCTTGCAAGGGCCAATTTTCTTCATCTTGAGCTTGTTGTACGTACCCATTAGGAACCATTCTTTTCGTAAATGAACCATAACGAGATCACCCACTTCAAATACTTTCTCACGTCGATGTTTGCCACGTGCTTCTTTATACTTAGAATTAGAAAACGCTAGCTTTTATTTAACCTCTTCTTGGACTGCTTCGATTTTTAAGCCAAATTTTCAGCTGTGAAACTGTGCCCAGGCAACACAGGTAGCTGAATAAGATCTAATGGATGTTTAGGCTGCCTTTGGTAAACAATCTGAAAAGGTGATTTACCGGTTGACCTGTTGACCATGTTATTAAAAGCGAATTCAGCTGGAGTGAGAAATTGGTCCCATTGTTTAAAGCAATCTCCACAAAGACACCTTATTAATTTCCCTAAGGTTTTGTTCACCACTTCAGTCTGCCCATCTGTTTGGGGGATGGAAAGAGGTACTAAATTGGAGCGTAGTCTGAAATAACCTCCAAAGAGTGCGCCAAAAATGACTAAGAAACTTGGAGTCACGATCAGATGTGATTGTCGAAGGAATGCCATGTAAACGTACTATTTCCCGAAAAAATAATAAGGCAATATTAGACGCATCTGCCGTTTTCTTGCAAGGGATAAAATGGGACATTTTAGAGAAACGATCAACCACCACAAACACAGAATCATTTCCTCTTGTTGTCTTGGGAAGACCTAAAACAAAATCCATAGAAATATCTTCCCAAGGGCCGTCGGGAACAGGCAATGGAGTATATAAACCTGTATTTTTGGGATTGGCCTTTGGCTTTCTGACAAATAACACATTTAGCAACAAATCGACCCACATCCCGCCGCAATTGCAGCCAATAATAACGCTCTTCAACTAACGCAATAGTCTTGTCCCTTCCAAAATGGCCTCTTAATCCGCCTCCATGCAATTCTTTGATAAGTTCCTCCCGTAATGAAGTGCGGGGAATACATAGACGATGATCATAGAACAGATAACCATGAAGTTTTAACATAGGTGGAACTATCTTGCTGCTCCATATCTTCTTAAAATCTTCATCATCAGCATATAACTCCTTCAAATCTTCGAAACCAGGGACTTCGGTCCTTCAAATCTTCGAAACCAAGGACTTTGGTCTGTAAGGTTACTAATAACTCAGCTCGACGACTCAACGCATCAGCCACCTTGTTCTGATCATCGGATTTATGTTTTAAAACAAACGAAAAACGCTGAAGATATGAAACCCACCGCCCATGCATGCGATTTAATTTCTGTTGACTATTAAAATACTTAAGTGCTTCGTTGTCTGTATAAAGAATAAACTCACGATGGAACAGATACTGCTTCCAATGTTGTATGGATCTATAAATCGTATAAAATTCTAACTCATAAGTAGTCCACTTTTGCCGTGCCTCACTAAGTTTCTCACTAAAAAATGCCACGGGTTTACCGTCTTGGGACAAAACTGCACTAATGCCTATAATCGATGCATCACACTCTAAAGTGAAAAGTTTATCGAAATTGGGCAAGACTAATAAAGGAGCAGAAGTCAATTTTTCTTTGATGAGGGAAAAACTTCGAGTAGCTGCATCTCCCCATTGAAACTGACCCTTTTTTGAGACACTGGGTGATAGGAGCCATAATAGAACTAAAATTTCGAACAAATCGCCGATAAAAGGTCGCAAGTCCATGAAAACTACGGACTTCACTAACGGTTTTGGGAACCGGTCACTCGCGTATGACACGTACTTTTTCCTAATCTACTCGAATTACATCTGCAGTAATGATAAAACCTAAAAATAGTAACTGATTGGTCAAGAAATTACATTTCTTTAGGTTGAGATAAAGTTTGTTAATGTTTTAAACAGTAAGAACCTCCGTGAGGTGTAGAAGATGCTCACTCTCTTTCTTACTATACACGAGAATATCATCAAAATAAACGACCACAAAAGATCCAAGGAAAGGTTTTAACACCTGGTTCATGAGTCGAGAGAAAGTGCTAGGAGCGTTGGACAAACCAAAAGGCATGACCAGCCACTCATAGAGACCATCTTTAGTTTTAAATGTTGTCTTCCATTCATCACCAGGGCGAATACGGATCTGATGATACCCGCTTCGTAGGTCGAGTTTAGAAAACACATTGGACCCTTCCAACATGTCCAACATGTCATCTAATCGGGGAATTGGAAATCTATAAGCCACCGTTATCTTGTTGATGGCCCTGCTATCAACACACATTCGCCAACTACCATCTTTCTTTGGAACCAACTGAGCGGAGACTGCACAAGGACTCATGCTCTCGTGAATGAGACCCTTTTTCAATAAATATTCTTCTCTTGTGGTAAGGTTAACTTTGGCCGCTGTTCCTCTGCAATCGCTAGATCGATGACCCAAGATGCCACATTTAAAACGCTTCCCTGGTATGGGTCGTGCGTTAAGGCTTGGTGGATTTCAGGGTGGTAGTAGCGGTAGAGGTGACGCCTTTACCCTTGTCGGGTGCTGGTGTTTTTGTAACCACTTGGCTGTTTTCTGTTGGCTGTGATGTTGACCCACTGGTGAATGTATTCCGATTAGCAGGGAATGAAAAGGTTTTACTACTCTTTGCCAATTGTGTTTCAGTCCGGATAGCCAGATTATACGCATCATCCAATGTATATACGGGTACTAGGGATATTCTATCTTGAATCGTGAGGCGTAATTCGTTAGTGTAGCGCGAGACCTGTTGTGATTCGGTTTCTGTGAGGTCATTCCTAACGGCTAATCGATGAAATTCGATGGTGTAAACCTCCACTGATCGATCTCCTTGCGTGCAATTTTGAAGCATGTTGAATAAAATTTGATCATGATTAGGGGGTAAGAACTTGCGCTTTAGTTCACGTTCCATTCGATCCCAATAAGTAATAGGTAATTTACCTTGGCGTTCTCGCGTGGTTTGCAGGTTCTTCCACCAAGCCTAAGCTCCTCCTTTGAGTTTGTAAGCCACGAGAGTGACCCGTTTATTTCCCGGGATATCATATAATTGAAAAAAATTCTCCAGCTCATTCATCCAGTCTAGGAAGCCTTCGATGTTCATGGATCCGCTGAAAGAGGGTACATCTTTTGCTCTTTGACGGTAATCGAAATCATGTGCATCCCTACATAGACCCGGACGCCCTCTCGCACCTTCATCACCGTCATCTTCTTCTAGATCGGAGTCTTCCCTGTTCCGTTCTTGTTCCTGCATCTGTAGATCATAAGCATTAATGATTGGAGGAGGTCGCTAAATGGGTTGCTGGTTGCGAATGAATTGTACGAGCAGTGGTTGGTTATTGCGGTTGAGTGCTTCCTGGTTTGCTTGCTCCCTACGATTCTGATTGTTGTTGGTTGTAAGAAGTGCTAAACTTTCTGTAATTTGTTGCAAGGATTGTTGGAGGGTTTGGAGGGTTTGTTCGATCTTGACGATTCGTCCAGAATCGGTTTCTTCGCCCGCCATGGATGTTGGGCTCTGATACCACCTGATGTGACTACAGAGAAAGACAATTTAACTAGGCGTATTGTCAAACGCAAAGAACAGGGGCACTATCGTGTGCCTGACGACCAAGAATTGAGAAACTGATCTCGACTCTATTTCAAAACAAAAACGAATTCAGAATATAACCACATAAAAACCTGATGTACGTTTTTGACCCAGTACTTATAGCTAAACAATACCAATCCTAATACAACTAGAAAACCTCAACAGATAAAGACTAATACTAATGAGATAAAGACTAAATAAGAAACAAAATAAGCTAAACTTGGGCTTTACTCCTTGAATATAATGTCGGCCAAGGGTAAATTAGGAAAAACTATCACTATATTGCATCAATGCATCAAAACCACATATATATCATGGAACGAACGAACCCAACACCAGAATTTAAGAAAAAAAGTAATTAAGAAGCAAGTTTGATTCCAAAACCTAATCCAGACAAGAATTTGAGATTTTATAGTTTGAAAAATACAGATATAGAAGAATGTGATTAATTTCAAACTTGTAAAATGATAAATGGTAAAACAGAGAGGCAGCTCTGCAACCCATATAACCGAACCGCACCTTTACTTGAGGCAGGTAAATCTTAATTAAACATTATCTATGTAGATTACACAAGAGAGTATTTGAAAGTATTTTGAAAATACATACATGTCCTTAATTTGTTGGTATTTCAGTTGAGCAGCAAATATATATATATATATATATATATATATATATATATATATATATATATATATATATATATATATATATATATTAGAAAGCATGCATATTGTACATGTATCTGTTGAGGTGTTAATTGAAGTTTAGAAGTAGTAAAAAGCAAAGCAAAGTAAATTAAACTGCAGGGAAAGTTACATACATGATGATTGATGATTGATGATTGATATTTGATGCGTCTATTCTAAAAGCAAAGTTGTTTTCTTGCACCAACAAGTAAGTAAGCAAGCAAGTAACTTACATACATGCATGGGAAAAAGGTCAAAAAGTGAGTGAGTCAAAGTCAATGGAGAGCGGTCAACTCAACAAGGTGTTTGTACTTGTGAGAGACAAAAGATTCCACCTTGAATCCATCCCCCTTACTTGGAGATATATATTTCACACCGATAACTGTCGGCAGGCCTGCACCAACACAAACACCATAATCAAATTATACTACTATCAATCCTTTTCACTTCACATAAATAAATAACTTCAATTTTTCATTTTAATTAAAAAAATCTCAATTAAAAATACAATGCACATACTGTTATGGACTCGAGCGTATAAGAGTCTTTCTCCCTTCCAATATTCCAAGGGTCTCCTTTTAATTCTGCTGCTTCGTCTTACTCCAGATGACGTCCAACTAGACCCCGCCCCTGCCATTCCCATTTATCATAAATAAATAAATAAATAAAAATATGTGTTTCACTTTCCTTCATAAATTTTTAACATAAACACCACCTATGAGTTATGACCTAACCTACCTGCAAGGCTCTGGCGACGCTTTTTTGGATCAATCTTATTCTTCTTTCTCTTATTTGTTTTTTTATTTATCCTCCGATGCTCCTCCTCCTATTTATTAAAAGTTATAACTCAGTGTTTGTTTGTTAGGAATAATCTGATTTTTTACAAAATATTTTTTTTATATAAGAAATAAATAAAGTAACCTTAACCTCACCTCATTTTGTTGTTCAGGGACAGGAACAATATCAAGACTTTGACCACTAGTATCCATGTCCATGTCCTCCTCAATATTCACGTCATCAGCATCTGTTTCACCTAATTTTAAAAAAACAAAAACAAAAATGTCAATTAACAAGACAAGGGTCAAACCTGGTTGCCTCAAATCCAAATCCAAATCCTCCACAACATTTACTTCTGCTTCTCCTGCCTTCTCTGTCACATCTTCAACCTGTTGTTATGTCAAAATGTCAATGCCAATATTGGGATGTCACATTTGTTTCTTAAAACATTCTTCTCTCAATCTTCACAAACTTAACTTATATTGTATGTAATTTATAAACCAGTTTTTTAAACACAACTTACATTATTATTCTCCTCACTAATAATCTCCTCAACATCCAAACTAAATTCTTTAACAACAGATGCTGCTTTTGCCACCGTATCTTCACTCTGCATAACATCATAATCAATTGCATTAATTCAGACTTACTTCTAAACTACATATGAAAATACATATAACAAATATATATATATATATATATATATATATATATATATATATATATGACATAAATATTAAATCCTTACATTTCCATTTATATCTTCGTTTGTTCGAATATCACCTGCATCCCTTTCTTCCACATTATGCTCCCTGTCTTCCATATCACCAGTGGCAGTGGCAGTTTCTGTAATATTCTTTTTCGCTGATGTGGCAGAAACCATGTCCTTGCTGGCACTAATGATTTTAGTAAAAGTTGTGGGATGTGAATCAACATCATGCCCATGGGTGGAGGAGAATGGATCTTTTCATTTCAACATTTGTTTTCCATATGTTGAAATTGCCAAAAATGGCCTCCTAGGTGGCGTGGGGGGCCCACCTACAGATTGGAATGGGGGGTTGTACTTGTTGGGTAATAATACTTTTTCTGTTGTATCAGTAGTCAATATGCTCTTGTTCTGAGACTCTTGTAGTAAATTCTTGAATGGAGAAATAAAGTCAACTCTAGGAATTTCATGGAACTCTGGAAGTTGTAAATCCTCTATATCAACATCTTTGATGTTCATACGCTCTTTTAAAAAGGATAACGCCTCATTTCCATCTAAATTCTCAATATTACTAGCCATTAATTCATCAAACATCTTGTGGATCCTATTCTCACTCTTACTTATTGATTCTGTTCACACAAAAGAGACAAAAAAATCTAGTAAGTTACATAGCATATCAAATAAAGGGTGACCCTAAAGATTCTTTATTAACAACAACAATATCAAAGTCTAATAAGAATGGGGTAAGAAGGAAGTAAGATGTAGCAATACAAGCAAAGATATGTTATATATTGTATAATTATTAAACTTAAAATAAAAGCATCAACTAACTTACCAGTTACTTCCTCTTCATCACATTGCTGATTGGGTGTGAAAGATTCTTGTTGTAAACATCGAGTAGGTGGAATTGGACTTACAATCTTATCTTGCAATGTCTCTTGAGCAACTGATGTATACTCCTGAGACTGACTGTAGTATTCATAATGCTTATAACTAACTTTTCTCCTGAAATATGGGTTCAAGATTACTCCATGAGAAATTACCAAGTAAAAAGAAAAACAGTAGAAAAAGTTAAACTGAAGATATCAATAGTACCTTGGTATTTCTGGACGACGATGTCTAACAGTAGTGGATGTTTTAACCTCATCTACATCTCCACCACCTCTCTGTCTCTTGAGCTCTTTTTGGGTGTCTAGAAATCAATTTTAACATGGTAATATGGTATAAGTCACTTGTGTGACATGATATCAAGTTATAAACAAACATCATGAATACTGAAACACCAAGATTAGAGAAGGATGATGTAATTTCAAACTTTTCAAAGGCTGCAAAAAATTCTTCTGGATCCTGCAGCTGATCAATTTCAAGACTTGGTTCCACGAGTGTAGAAGACTGGCTGTCAACACTCAACAGTGATGTGCATTAAGTTAACTTCTCCAGGTTTCTAGACTAAATGTTTATGTGGAAAGTGAAACACAAGAAAGTAGTATGTATATTGTATAGTATAACCTTTACCTTGTATCAGGCTTCAAAGAGAACTTAGCACGCTTCCGGACTAAACCTGGTCTGTGCTTTTGAGGGTTTTCCTTCTCTTTTATATCAGCTTCAGTTTTCTTGGTATTGAGGAATTCTAAACCTCCATCTACAACTGACTTTGCTTCCTCAAAATACTTATCAGGGCTTTGTAATGCCTTAAATAATGAAGAGAGAATAACAAGTTTAGATCAAATAGTAATGTGCATGATAACTCAAGCAACACAATAAGTGCTTCAATCTTCTTCTATTAACTGATTAACTATCGAATTTCATTCGCCTCATGGTTAGGAATGGATACATTATACATTATACATTATACATTATTATCTATCCACATACACATTATACATTATCATCTTTCTTTTTTTAAGACCCCTCTTCCTCTAAATTTCCACTTCATACATTCTCAAAAAGTTAAAGTAAGGTGTGTATTGTTAAATTTCCCCACAAGTAGATTATTTTTGTCAGTGGAGGGTTAAAAAGTATTCATTTGACACCAAAATGTCAGCTTAAAGACTTTCTGCAAACGCTAGGAGGATAACTTAGTTAAAATGCTTCCAACGATGTGGTGATTGTTGCTTCTGAGAATGTCTAACCAGAAATAAATAGAAATTCACACACATAATCTCTATCTAATGTCTTATGGTGATCTACAGCTGCAGACAATCAAAATCTACTACATGTTAGGCATGCACATTTTGAATGTAAGAATATGAAAGCACTTTTAAACCATCACACGGGTTCCAACCCAGCTGCCCATGACATAGTAAGAACATAATGGAAGGGGTAATAGATCTTAATGAAGAGGCTTGAGTGTAGTCTACTTTTTAGCTGGGAGACTGTCCCCGGCCAGTATCAGCAATCGCTTACATCCATTGTGTAAAGTCAATTGTGAAAGTAACTCAATCAAAATCTAGTAACTCAAAAAAAAATCGAAACAAAACACTCTAAGCAGAAGCACCGTGCTCCCACACAACAATTAGCACAAATTATAACTGATGAATGACTAAACTGTACAGAAAAAAGTTGCAGATAATCGAAAAGTACCATTGATATCGTATACTGGTGTACAGCTTCGAGGTCTTTGGATTTCAACGCATCTTTGGAAAGTCGGAGTGTTCGAGGGTTTAGAGAGATAATAGACTGTTCTTCAAATGGATCGACAAGAGTGAAGCTCTGCGTTTGATTCATCGTTGCATTTTCCGTGAATAAATTAAGTCCTAGACAAAGGAGTAGATAGGGATTCGAAATTGTTAGAGTACCAAGCGGGAACTTACATTCTTCAAATTGTTTGCTCTTTTATTAAACCCTCTCTCGATGTTGATTTTGATTAAAAGGGTAATGCAATAAAAATCTCAAACTTTAGGTAGGATTTTTAATTTGTCATAAATTTTTTTATTATGTAAAAGACTATAAATTTTTAGAAAACGTTCAATTTTTTATCTATTATTCGGTTAACAACCGGTCATCCTAAGTGACATTTTGATATGTTTGTTCCGTTGATGTGACATGCTGTCTGAATCCACGTCATCGTAGATATCAAATAAAATGGAGAAGGCGCAAGCAGGGATCGAACCGGGACCTCCCGACGAGGTCTTTAGCTGCTGAGCTAGATACCTACCGACAACGGCTTTAGCCGTTGAGCCAGATGTTGATTTCATTTATATTTTCATAAAACTTATTTATATTATAAAAAATCATTATATACTCGTAAAGAAAATAAACGAGAAAATAGTAATGTCAGGTTTCAAACATAGGTTTCCTTCATAAATAGGCAACAAACATACCAAACTAGAAAATGTTGATTTCATTTATATTTTTCTAAAACTTATGTATATAACAAAGTGTTATATAAATATAGGGTCCGGATCCATTAAGTACTTCGATAAGGACCGTAAGGACAATTTAAAGATTAAATTTATCAAAATTACCGACGGCAAAATTGGACAACTCTGTAATTTTTGGGTCATTAGTCACGCGCCTCCAACTTGGGCCACATACACATTTTGGATGCCGCCAACTTGGGCCACGTACATATTTTGGATTGAATACTGATGGGTGCTAGATACATAACTAAATTCAGAATGCATGAATTTGTGTATACAGTTGTGCAACTTGAAATAAAGTTTAATAACCCAATATTTTTTTTACCTTGCATAACATGAATACTTTCAACTTAGCTTTATTATTCTAACTAGTGGGTGAGCCCGTGGTGAACCACGGGTCATCATTGTGGTTGTTCTTATATATTTATTGAACCCGTTATTACTTAAATGTGTCTTGTTTTATTCACAAAGGATGAGGATGAGAAAATGATGACAAAACGAATCCCAAAACGGAAGTACAAATCGGTAGACGGAAAAGAGACAAAATGAATGTGAAAATGGTCAAAGGGACTGAAAGTGAGTGTAACACCCAAAAAAAAACATGCCAATTTAAAACTTTTTAAAACGTTTAAAAATATCAATTATTACAACTTTGTTTTCAAAATAGTATCATGTCAGGGTATCCCCAAAATCAAATTATAAAAATACAAGGAGGTGCACGATCACGTCTTCGTCTTCCCGCGATCATCAGAAGTACCTGAAACATAATCAACAACTGTAAGCCCGAAACTTAATGAGTTCCCCCAAAATACCAACATCATACAAATATAACCATATCATATAAACAAACAACATGCATAATAAGCCATCAACCTGGATCGCCTCGCAGGGCCATCAGTCTATCTGGACCACTCTCCGAGCCTTCGGCACGTCTGGACCGCCTCTCAGGGCCTTCAGCCTATCCGGACCGCTCGTCGGGCCTTCGGCCTGACTAGTATGACCTAATCGGGCCTGCAGTCTATCCGGTCCGTCCTGGTATGTTGGCCTACAACACAAAGTAGGACCTGCATCAACCCAACCCGCAATCCAACAATCATGTGCACATAAATATCATACGCTAGCTAGCATGTACAGATGGTCATACAGATCTAACAGATCACTAACATAATATTATCCTATAACCAGGATACCGATCTAACAGATCACTAACATAGCAACCATCCTATAACCAGGATACAAATCATAAAGGGTCGGCCTTTGTGCCTTAGACCCTGTTGATATAGTGAGAAGAACTCACCTCACAAGTAGCTCGGAATGATAATGTCAAACTCCTCCAAATACAGCTCCAACTCAAACACCTACATCCACCAATGATCCACTTCCATAAATTACCAAATTACTAAAATACCCTCAGAAGTCAAACTAGTCAACCCTTGGTCAAAGTCACAGTCAACGGTCAAGGTCAACAGCCCATGTTGACTCAACTCGTCGAGTGCAGCTCACTGACTCGTCGAGTTCTTCCAGAACTCGAGAAATCGTGAAAACCCTAGTTGACTCGCCGAGTTTCCAGGCAACTCGTCGAGTCCATGTGATGTCCAAATGTCGGGAAAAACCCTAACTAACTCGTCGAGTCTTCTTACTGACTCGCCGAGTTCATGCAGAACCAATACAGACAATCTTCACCCGACTCGTCGAGTCGGTCATGCGAATCGTCGAGTCCCTTCAGTCCCTTTCTCATCCAGACGTTTTTAAGCTACCCCAAAGCTCCATATTGCAAATGTAACCTCCTAAGGCATGGTTTCCACGTAAAGTTGCAAACTCTACGTACATGCATGGTCCTAAATGCCAAAACCAAGCTAAGGGAAAGGTTTAACCCAAAGAGAAAGGGCCAATGCTTATTAAATCTGATAACTTTATGACTATAGGGACCAAGAGGAGTCCAGATCTGAAGTTGCAACTTCAGATCATGCCCAATACCCGAAATAACCCACAACCAACTAGAAAATGGCCCTAATCCTTTGTATGAAGAGATCTAGCTAAAGATAAGTCAAGGTAACGACTTGTTACCTTCAAGATGATGTCAAGATGAAGTAGAGTCAGATCCACAAGTTCCTCTTTGCTCCAAGCTCCTTAGACTTCAAGCCTTCTTCACAAAATGCACCAAAAGCACTCTTTAAATCTCACAAACACTCAAGAACGAGGTCTAGACTGATTAGGGTTTCTACTGGTCGTCAAGAGGTGGTAAGGGGCTGGAGGAAAGGACTTAAGGTCCTTTAAATAGGGTGCAAACCCTAAAAATTAGGGGTTCCGAGCACAGACTCTACTCGTCGAATCGGGGTCCTCCGACTCGTCGAGTAGGAATCATAAATCATGCGGCCTGACTAATCTCTACACGACGAGTTGGGGCCTCCAACTCGTCGAGTAGGCTTCCTTAATTACATACAAATCCCTAAAATCTCATTCCTGGAAATCGGGATGTTACAACCCTCCCCCACTTAAACTAGGCTTCGTCCTCGAAACCTATTGTAGTGGACAAATCCGGATAATGCTTTTGCATTCCAGTCTCCGGCCCCCATACATACTCGGATGCCCTCTGATCATGCCACTTGTACCTTTACCAAAGGTATCTCCTTGCTACGCAAAACCTTTACCCTTCGTTCCAAGATGGCCACCGTCCTCTCGACGTAGTTCAGGCGCTCATCGTCTTGAAGATCACCCAATGATGCCACGGCATCCTCGCCCGACACACACTTTTGCAACTGCAAGACATGGGAAGTGCTATGAATCTGACTGAGCTCCTCTGGGAGACCCAGTCAATATGTTGCCTTGCCATCCTTGGTATAACCCGAAATGGCCTGATATATCGGGAACCCAAATTCCCTTCTTCCTGAAGTGGATCATGTTGGGTTTTGCGCATTCTAACACTCCTATGGTGTACATGCAACCCTAAATACCTTGGATCTATGTTTTCTCTATTATACATGCAAATATCAATTTCCAAGGTATTATCCTAACTAGCATACATTCATATGTACTAGGATAACAAAAACTAGATAGAAGACATACATTTTGTTGGTGCTTGATTCCATGAAGCTCAAGAACCTAGTGCCCCAAATGTGACACCTCAAATGGTTCACACAACACCATGAACATTTGAAATAACCATGAGAGAAGATATGAGTTCATAGAAATTGGCTTGCCCTCTATCTTATGCACTAGTGCCAATTTCACCAACCAATGGGGTCTTTATATAGTGTGGCTATTAGGGTTACACCATGTAACTCATAACTTTATCCATTCCTTATGCTCCATAGGTTTTAACCTCCATGGAGTATCCATGGATCACTACATGGGTTAAACCCAACATAAGGAATCATGGATCATAAGCCCAAATATACAAGAATCAATGATTTACACAATCAATCCCCATATATTTAATTAGTCTCTTTTGATCACTAAATTAATTCCAAATTAATTCTTGATCAATACTAATTAAATAATATGATTTCATATTAATATATTAGAACTTATAATATATTAATATGTCACAAATATCCTCTTCTCACAAAAGGTCTACCCAAATGTCCCGATGCCATGCAACCCAAATGGACAATGCCGGGTCGGGTCAAGTATATACCAATTATAGTTATGGACTTAGACACTAATCAAACAGATCACACCCTGAAAACCTGGAGTCCTTGCCAAAACACAATCATGGATCATATGCGGTTGCCGATAATTCTCTGCTGGAGAAGAGATTTTTATATTATTTCAAGGGAAACTCATTCAATGACCGAACTTTTAGGGATAACACGGACAACGGGAGGCAAACTAGGAGAAAAATTCTTTTGTGCTGGCCGGATAATGCTTCCTTCATCTCCCGAATCTACTTACAGTAATAGACAACTGCTAACGTATAACCACACACACCTATGACTGGCCCGATCAGCCTCGGACTGGAATATCAATATGCCGAATCCAATCAACCACTGGATTGAAATTCTTAGGGTTTGTCGGCCTACCGCCTCAACTCTACCACTCTTCCTGGCCTTCGTGCCTACGAATTACAGTCGGCCCGCACTGAGTATCTTGGCCTACTACATAGAGCATGACCGCCTCAACCCTCCCAACACGATGTGTTGCCATATATAATCAGAAGAAAGATCTAACCCGGTTCTCAGAACCTGAAAGACAGGGACGCTCTAACCCAGGAACCCTCGACTTCCCGTTGATGACATTATACCTTTCGCCTGCAACTCGCGATTCACCCCATAAACCAAAAGCCCCCCCCCCCCATTTACCTCACTGACCTCCAGAGTGCATGCCTCACACGGATATACTTTGCGATCCCCAATGCAAGTTTCCACTATAAGCCATCCTGAAATGGCTGTCCATGAATCCACCCCAAGTTTCTGACTGAAACTACCATAAAT